TTCGTCGGTATGCCAGGTTCCCCTGAAAGAGTCCAGGCCACTAAGGTCAGACGGCTGTCTGACACCATCGGATGTGCGTTTCTCGCCGGGTCCCTGAGTAACATGTCGTCGTTTGGTAGGAGGATCGGGTCCTAATAAGACAGTTCGAGAAGGTCCAGGAACCAGGGCTGACTCGGCCAGAGGGGCGTCAGCAGGGTTAGTCGGACCCTCCATCTGCGAAGATGATTGAGAACTCTGGCAATCATGGCGAATGGGGGAAAGGCATATGCTCCCTGTTGTGGCCAGTGCTGAGTGAATGCATCTACCGCTGTACAATCCGGGTCTGGTAGCCAGCTGTAGAATTGCGGGACCTGCCGGTTGTTTCGTGAGGCAAAGAGATCCAGTAGAAAGGGTCCCTTCTGGTCCTGCAGATGTGCGAATATCCGCGGATCCAGTTGCCAGTCGCTGGAATCCCTCCAATGACGGGAATACCAATCCGCCGTGAGGTTCGTCTCCCCCGGCAGGTGTTCTGCCCGTAGTGTGATATTGCGCGGGAGGCAGTAGTCGAAGATTTCCTTCATCAGATGCGCCAGGGTTCTCGACCGGGTGCCCCCCAGGCGGTTGATGTATCGTACCGCAGATACATTGTCCATTCTTAATAGTATACAGCAATTTGACTGCCCTTTTGTAAGGCTGCGGATAGCAAAGGAGCCCGCTAGGAGTTCGACGCAATTGATATGCATCGACAATTCCTGTGGTGTCCACGTGCCCCCTGTGGACGTTTCTCCATCCGTGGTGCCCCATCCCACGTGGCTCGCGTCCGACTCCAGGATGAAGTCCGGTTGACTGCCGAAGATGGCCCGACCATTCCAGGCCTGCATGCAGTGGAGCCACCACTGGAGTTCTTGGTATACTTCTTCCGACAGTGGGACCGGTTGGTTGTATGTGAGGTTTTGGCGGAGGAGGCTGGCCTTCAGCCGTTGCATCGCTCGGTAGTGAAGGGGTCCCGGAAATATGGCTTGTATTGAAGATGACAAGAGTCCCACAATCCGCGCCAGTTGACGGAGCGGAATGGAATCCAATTTGAGAACCCTGCGGATCTCCTTCCTGATGGCCGTCACTTTGGCGGACAGGAGATTCAGGGTGCAGGACCTGGAGTCGATCTTGAAGCCCAGGAATTGGATTCGCTGAGCAGGCGTCATTGCGGATTTGGCCTTGTTGACAACGAAGCCCAAGGATTCTAACAGTCATACTGTATATGTAGTGTGCCGGATGGCCAGTTCCCTTGTTCTGCAGAACAAGAGAATGTCGTCCAGATAAATTATGCATCTGATCCCGCGTGTTCGGAGGTGCGATACCACTGGTTTTAGCATTTTCGTGAAGCACCACGGTGCTGAACTCAGTCCGAACGGAAGGCACGTGAATTGCCATGGCGTGCCGTTCCAGAGAAAGCGGAGAAATGGACGGCTGTCCGTGTGGATTGGAATCGTCAGATAAGCGTCTTTGAGGTCTAGATGCGTAAACCAATCCCCTTCTTGGAAGAGATCCCTCAATAAATGGATGCCCTCCATTTTGAAGTGGCGGTAGGTCACGAACGTGTTTAGTCCTCTCAAATTGATCACTGGCTGGAAGTCCCCGGTCTTCTTGCGGACGAGGAACATGTTGCTGAAGAATCCTCCCCTTGTGTGCGCAGATTCTATAGCGCCCTTTACGCGAAGCTCGCGGAGTTCCCTGTTTGAGGCGAGTGTCCAAGGCTGAGAGACGCAAAGGATAAGGGGGGAACCTTTAAATGGGCTGTGATGGGAGTTCGATTCGATATCCTTGGACGGTCTGTAGCACTCAAGCTTCCGTGGACAGTTGGGCCCAATTCTGGGAAAAAAGTGAGACACGGCCTGCAATCATAATTATATGAGGTATCGAACAAAGGTGGTCTCTTACCTGTAGGGAAGCGTGCACGGCCTCGTCTTCGACCACCTCGTCCTTTGTCAGAACCCCTTTGGTAGTAGGGGAATGGTTGTTTGGCTCCGCTGCCCTGGTAACCTTGTTGAGGGAAGAATTGGTGTTGGAAGCCCATACGGGGGCCTGAAGGCAAGAAACGGCTGGCGGCACTGCCCCGCTGCCGACCAGCCCTGGAAAAAACACCCTTTGCGGAGGTACCTCGGAAGACCTTACGCATGGACGTGCAGGCCCTATTCAAGGAGGTAAAGACGTTTACATGCTTATTTAGTTCCTTCATAAAAGCTTCACCAAAGAGCTTGCCCTGTGCCTGTGGGCCCAATTCTTTGACCCCTAGGTCAACCAATTTGGGGTCGATACGAAAAAGTGCTGTCCGGCGCCACTCCGTAGAGAGGGCCGCATTCGTATTACCGAGGAAACAAAAGCCCCTCTGGGCCCACTCTCGGATATCATGTGCCCATTCTCGCACCATGTCTGCCATGAAGGAGTCCGCTCTGGCGTATGCTTCATCCGCCAGGTACATAACTTGGGCCAAAGGGCCCATTGTGTCTAGGAGTTTATCCTGAGCTCCTTTAAAACTCTTCTCAATCCCCCTCCGTGGGTCGCGGCCCCCTTGTTCCATAAAGGTCAGTATAAGCTGATCAAATTCCGGCGTATAGGCCACTTTATCTGGCAGGGTTGGTCTCGGACACTCTGCCCGCATCCTCTTACGGATATGCTTTTCCAAAGGTTTCTTGATCCAGAAATGCATGAAGCGGAGGAGATGATCCGGAGGGGCCCACTCACCCGATCGAGGGTGGCGAATCTTCCTGGGATCAAGCATTCTCTGGCCAGTGGAGTCCAGGAATATCTCCTGCTCCTACGTGGCCGTGGCGGGGGGTTCCGCATCTCCTTTCTGCTGGGGCTCACCCAGAAATGTCTGTGACGTAGGCGTTGGAGCCCCAACCGCCTTCGTCAGAGTCGGAGGTTTCAGCCTGCCACTCATCCAGAACGGAGAGAGAGTGGGGCACGTCTTGCTCCTCATCTGAGGAGGCCTCCCCAGCGTACACGGGAGGTATCTGAGTAGTGCGATTATCGCGCTACATAGGGGCCTTGCCTTTGAAGGTGGCTCTCCTGGAACCTTCGCCCATCCAGTGGCGTTTCACCAGGCATTTCTTCTCTCTAGTGGAGTCATCCGACTCATTGGAGTCTTCGTGAGCCTGGTGTGGCTTGTTAAACAGCGCATTAGATTCAGCGGGGGCAGGAGCCGCTTTAGCTAGCGCTTTCTCCAGAGACGCAGCTACCGCTGCGTTGATCATTGCTTGAAGGTCACTGGTATTAATTGTGTCCTCCATGATGTTGGGCACTAACAGATACTAACAGGCACAGGTATAGGTATGAGAGGTGAGGGACCGTATGGGAGGGACTCAGGTTAAATAACGCCCAGCGGCGTGGGACTGGACTCCTAATCGCTGGGGGTCACCCAGGGTCACAGGGAACTGCTTTAACAGTTCCCGCTATGCAGCACTCAATGGGGGCTAACCCCTAGCCAGGATATTGGGTTAAACCCTACTGGCAGTCCCACTCCCCAGGGGCAATGACACCAACCTGTGAAGGTCCCAAACGAATTCCACCTCAGCAGTAGAAAAAACGAGCTTTCAGAGCAAGAGCCTTGTCCTGATAGGTGTTACACTCCACAAAACTAATTACCCACAAAATGGCCGCACGGATCTCGCGAGACTAACGGGCGCAAAGCCCGTGAAAATGGAGCCCTTTAAGCGTTCGGCAGTTTAGCCGCGAATTTGGACCCGGACTGAATTCCCTTTAGCAATTCGGGAAACTGTCCGTTCGCGCAACACATGCGTTCGCGGCAGCAAACCCCGCGAACGGCTTAGAGGGGGCGAGAAATGCTAGGCGCCCTGTGGGAATGAGCGTCCCGCCTGTTCGCGCTACTAGAGCGCGAGCAGAGCGCAACGGTCGGGAAGAAGGTGGCGAGCGTAGCCACCGGTAGAATAAGAGGGAAGGGGGAGACGGACGGTCTAGCCTGACACCAACCCCTTAAAGCAGGGAGAGGAGAGCGCTGGGAGAGGCTGTCCCGTACTGCCAAGACAGCCTCAGCCCAGTACCCTGCCCCAAAGTGAGTACAGCTCCCCTGACAGGGGAGGGTAGACCCACTCAGGTCCCCCTGGCACCAAAGCAGAGAAAACAATAGAAAAATACAATAGAAATACAATAGAAAAAACAACCAGGTACAATTAAAGTAAAACAGACATCAATAACATCTTAAAGAAACCTGACAGGAATCTTAAAGAAATCAGTACTCTGACCTGACTTGTGATGGAGCAGCAAAGAAAGAGGAAATGGTTGGCTACGCTGGGACTTATATATCCTCTGTTTTGCTCTGATTGGTTCTTTCTTTAATGGTTTTTTTCTTTGCTGCTGTGGAGCTAGTAAAGAAAGTTAATGCAAATACGAAGCCTCCTGTCATGTTATAAAATTACATTTTGCCTGCTGTTTCTGCTGCCACTTTCAAATGCCTTTCATTGTAGAGGTTTTGACCTTCCTGGCTTAGTCTTGCAGTTTGACTATGCCTGTTACTACCCCAGATGCAGTTGCGAGAAGGTGATAGGACACTGTTTTTTCCCATATTGATGGCTTGTTACTGAAGCAACAGGCTAGGTGTGTGGGAGAGATTTGTTCATGTCAGGGTTGAAGGCGGAGGTGTAACTAGAAACCACAGGGCCCCAGTGCAGAAATTGCCCTGGGCCCCCCCCCCTGCCAATTCACCAT